GCCTCTGCATGCTATGTGTATGTGTGTGTGTGTGTGTATGTGTGTGTGTGTCAATTTGTATACATTTTTTTCAGTCATACCCTTTAGAATGTAAGCCTGTGGACAGTGAGATACCGGCTACGTCTTTCCACGCATATTATTAATGCAGCAAGAGAGACGAACATCTTGTCGGCCAGCCAGTCACCGGGACAGGGGGGCAACCGGCCAGCCGGTCAGCCGGTCAACCAGGCAGCCGAAGCGAGAAAAGAGAACTGAGCCAAGACAGAGTTGTAAGTCAGTTGTAGACTGAAAAATCACACATCACACCCAGCAATTAGGCCGAACCGGCTCGTCCAGCCGCTCGTCTGCGGCTGATCGTGTTGTGCGATTTATGGCAGTGATTCACACTCAGTCCATACCTTTACATCTGGCTTGAAAGAGGAGATCCTTGAATTGAAGCATACGCAAACTATGAGCCATAGTTCCTGCAGCATCTCTGAAAATGTCTAAAGCTTGCTGGAAGCCAGAAAAGGCGAATTGATGATATTTCCAAATTGAAACTGAATTTATGATGGCACCCTTCGAAACTCGCATTCTTTTTGCATATACAAGAATTGTGTTGATATGAATAGGATAAAAAAAGTATTATCCCATATATGGCGAAAGGAAAGAAGCATACACACAAATACACAATTGTTGAGCTCATTTCCATCTCGAGGGAAAGAGCTTGATGAAAAGATGTACATGTGAATTGTGTCTATCTCGTCAGATGACAATAGACGAAGTCGTTTGGCCTTACTGAAATGTTCTGCATGATGCAATCCTTGTGGCAATCTTCTTCGAATCCGGTCAAACCGTGTTGCGCTTTCGTCTGTCATACCACTTGTCTGGGCACCACTCTCACAACAACTTCAGGCAACCAACTAGAAACAATTGTCTCGTGGACTGCGAATTTCTTTGCAAGCATGAAGGTACAAATGTTTATACACCTGCTAACACAGTCCCAGATAGACGTACAAGTAGACAAACAGACACAGTAATGCAGACTAACAGACAGATACATGGACGGAGTAACATTAAAAGTGGATGGTAGATTGGTACACCGGTTGGTGAATAAAGAGCATATATAATGGCATAAAGAAGAGAGGATTACCTTGGCATTTATACTTTCCATGGTCTGTTTTGTTCCACTCTTGTTCTTTCTCGTTATTACAGCTTTCTGCAAACTTTTCAGTCTTATTCGTCTCAACTGCTTTCGGATCACCAAGACAGGGGCGGGTGATATAAAGAGAGAAGATACAGTTCTCTTAAGTATTCTGCCAGACCTAAGAAGGGTGCTGAAGCCCTAGGAT